GCCGTTTGGACGTTACTGCGAGTTTGAATCCGATCACATGTCCGAAATCATTAATGACAAGGAAATCCACAGAGCCTTCTGAGTAAGAACAATAGGAAATTCGCTAGCTGTTAAATTACATTGCGAAACAATTTGGAAAGATTAAAAAAATTTTATACTAGATTCAGGCGCAGAAAATAAATGTCATTAGGTATAACGCATTAAAGAACGGCACATAAATAAATTGTGATAATACAATTGAACTAGAAGGAATAGCTCCACAAAAAATATACACTCTACGTTCTGTTATGGTAAATTTATTTGATAAATATCATGAATTTCACATTATGAGTCCAGAATCGCCAATAAATAATGTATGTATTTAAGGAGATCAATTTTTTACGCAAGGTAATGCTAGAATCGGATACGCATTAAATGCCTTAATAGTAGAAAGCAGATCAATTGAACCTATACCTTTTCCTTATCAAGATGATAAAATCGACTCTATAAAATTAATAAAAAATAAAAAATAACTCTTAAGACTGAAAACTTAACAAAGTTTAAAATCAACTCATGAAAAATTTGTTTTTCTATTTCTCGACGAAGATAGATTACCCACACCCCCACATGATACTATTTATTATAGTAATAATAGCGAAAAATTCTAATTACACCATTAGTTTAATACTTCAAGCATTAAACTAACAAAACAAAAAAAATATATTTTGAAAAAAACATACAAGGTAATAAATACCCAATGCACACATTTTTATTACAAACTTGAAACCTACACTACTTTACGACAAAAAGCAGGAGTGTAAGAGTATTAATTAATCATTTTCCTGACGAAAAAAAAAAAAAAAATTTACATCCAAAACGATATTACAATAATTTATCTCATCAACTTGCGTGAATTCTCGATCGACCTATAGTTGCCGACGGGGTAACAATCTGAGAAGGGGGTGTTGCATCCGAAGTTAAGACAGATGAATCATATTACAAGTAAAAACGCAATTCATCCGTCAAATTAATACAAGACGTATTGTATATATACACAAGCTCATATGCCAAGAGGAGCTTATACATTCCTTATATGTGTCTGTGTATATTAGCTTTAAGGTGAATGTTGCATGTATCTATTAAAATTGTACGTCAAGTGTATGAATGCATAAATTGTATTGTATGTATGGATGAAGAGTTTACTTGTGCATTGATTGTCTATTTCTAATAATGTATACTAATTTGAAAATTGTAATGAACACATTATTTCATTATACTAAAAATTGATTGTAAAATCCCCAAAAGGATTAATTGCGAAATTTGTAAACTTGTTTGTCACACTTAAACTTGTATTTGGCGTTCTTTTATTTCTGATGCGAGCTTCCATCATTACTGATCCAAAAAACTATCACATTTGTCAGAAAAATGCGATTGGTACTGTTATTTTGTTATTTCTCAAAACATGAAATCATAACATGTGACATCATCGTGCAAGCCTACTGTTTTGCAGTCAACGCAGTTTGTAAGAACACCACCCATTGGTGGACCTAATTTAACCAAAGGCCTGTTTTCAAACGCTCTAACGGTATAAAAAAACACCATTAAGAGAAAATTGCTCTTTTTACGTATGTCACCTGTCCTCTAAAGTTTTAGTCTTCTATTGACTTTCGCTACTCTTGAGTGCCTTATATACGTAAAGCATAACGTGTCGGCTGAGTCAACTTGGGCGCATTTCAAGAACATCAATAGTATCGGACTACGCTAAGGAGTGAGGTACAACGAAGAAAGCCTACCTACCGAAAGTGGTTCTGGTGATAGCAGAGAAGGCAGAAACCGCAACATCTTACTGGCCACGAACTCATTCATGTAGTTTAAAGTTCCACTGGAAATTACTGAACGAAGCATTTAGGAACTCTGAAGCAGCAGTAACAACAATCGGTGATCGATGTAAGTTATTTATCAGTAATGAAATTAAAACTGAACCTTGTTAAAGTGACCCAAGTAAATTGTATTTTAAAGAATAAATTATTTTAAGTTGTTCTTATAAAAAAATTCGTTATCGATATCATTTGTATAAAGATTTTAACCAACTAAAAAAAACAATTAAAGCTCACGAACTGAACCCTAAGAGACCCACGAATGACACTAAAATAAATTAGTTAAGATCATGCTGTCAACAAGTCTGGTTGTGGCAGTATCAACGAGCAACCGCTGAGTTCGTAAGGCTTTAATGCTTACGTTTATGCACCACAGATGTCGCTTGAACACTAAGGCGTGGAGTTGTGGAGGTAGGCTCGATACTTTCCGGACAGACCTCGCACATCCAACATTTTTTAAGCTTGTCCTACGAGTTTCTCGTATAATCTAAGTTGTTTAAGTTATATTTCATTGTACACAATTTTATTCTGAGACTGAATAACCAGAAGTAATTTTACTAAATTTTATTGCAGAAAGAATGTTCAGAGATATTATCTTAGTTAAGATTACACCAATTGTTGTAAACAAAGTATCTGAAGATATTGTTTAGAATCTTGAAAGCAGCAATGTTTATTCGAATTACACGCACTCTTCCACAGTAGATATGATGGCAGCACTGTATGTCTCACAAATTACAAGCATGACTAACTTTCAATGTTTTCTAGTTGCGCGCCATTTTTTAACACGCTGGCGTATCTGATGGTCTGCTTTTGCTGTTTGTGCGTTGTTTATTACCGTTATATATACTCATAATTTTTAGTTGGCAACTAGCTATCAATAAGTTAAGCTCAAGTCTGTTTTTTTGGCTAGTCATCAAACAGTTAACATTCAAATTTACCACAGTTATTATTTCAAGCTAGTTAATTATCATATACATCATATCAGTATCAATAACATACTGTTCAAGTTGATATGTTAAGAGAGTAAGTTTCATACAAAGCTGCTCTGTCAAAACACGTATTGTGAGGTTAAGATTACCTAGCAATCACAGAATGACTCATAATATAGTGAATAAGATGTGATGTGAACAGTTATATTTCACTTGGGCCTTTGTTACAATAGCGTTGTAACCATGTGTTGTATTATTCAAGAAGTGTAAATTCAGTAATACTCTAGTTTGGTGCAACTCTCTCACACAGATACACTCTCTACACTTACACACACACAATCAAGTGCATACACACAATTACACTATTATAATTGCTCTAATGTGTATAGATATACTCAGTGCTCATAAACTCAGTAGTGATACTCAGTGACATCTGACTTCTTATTATTATTTTCTTGTTTTTTTTTATAGACTCAATGTTACTATTCACTTTTATTTCATTTAATATTATTGTTTTACATAAGTTCAAAAACTATTTATAATTTTTATTATTTTGTTAAAAAAACTCAGTGAAAATATTGTTTAGAAAATTAAGATTTTTTTTTGGTATTGTTAATATACCAGTTGTAATCAATTTCAATATAATCAGTGAATATAATGATTATTATATTCACTTTCTAGTTTATTTGTGTTGCATGTTACTTACTACCTACCTGATCTGACACTCCAGAATTGCACTAACATCAGTACTTAATAATCAAACAGATATTACCAACTAATTGGTTGAAGATTCTGAAAGTAAATTAGTACTGTTTTATCTAAAATACATTAAAATAAATTTATATCATTCTTTTTTATTTTATTGGTGTAGTGGTTTTTTATTTTAGAGCTTTTTTTTATTCTGTGCACACGGTCTTTTTGTGTCATATTAATTAAATATATTAATTTGTAATAAACCATGTACGTAATGAAAATAACGCATATTATTAGAGAAATTAAAATCGTTGTGTGAAGCATAAAATGTCTTATTAAATAATAAGTCTTTATTCATATCATCTAATACCTCTTCAGATTGTTACGATTTTCTATCAGGTCAAGCAGTTTGTTAGTTTGATAAAAGAATTTTAGCTTTGTCAAAAAAGATATTACATGATAAGAGTGATCCACGGTTTTATATAAACAGATACATTAAAACTACAGTTTAATACGTTAAAAGTAAAGATTGTAATGACATTAATGACCGTTCTATTTAATAATAAAAATAAAAATCGTTATCCCTTACCTTCTGTCATTTATTAAATATTGCGATTAATGGTAGCCAAAATTAAACATACTGTTTTGTCCTTTTATTACAAATAAACTAAATCAAGTAATTTTTCTAGGAAAAGATAAACTTAAAAAAAATAGAATAAAGTTATTTTTTGTGTAGTTTTAGTTGTATTGATTACATTCTTATCTATAAAGGTGAAACTTTAAAAGTGCTTTAGAAACAAGTTTTGCGACATGAAAATAATAAAAATAAGGAACTTGTAGTCGCATCGCATTCTACGAAATTCATTGACAGTTTTGATTCCGACATTATTCAAATACTAACAGTTATTTTGTTTGTCTTTAGTAAAAAAATTTTCTTTGCCTACTCATGCTGAATCTTCTGTTTTCTGTGCCTGTACAACTTAACCTAACAGTTTTAAAGTTCTACAAAACACAAATTTTCAAGCGTGTTGATGCAAAAAATAGCATACGTTCCCAGGCCGTAAGTACACTACCAACGTTTGCATGTTTTTATCGGCCTTGCTTTTAGTTTGGCCAGCAATTAGCCATACAAGGGATGATAAACTCACTTTCTAACCTAGGCACATAATATACTTCATATTTAAAATAACTTAGCACTTTCAGTGACTTTTCTTATATTTTTTGTAAGCCTAAAGCTGACGGAATATTATCTGTACAAAATGTTTAAAGAAATAAAGCAAAACTTAAAGTGACAAAATTTGAGCTTACTTTTCCAGCTATCTACATGTGTCCCTCTCATACGGAAGAAAACTAATAGTATCGCGATTCAGTTTTTGTATTACTATTTCTAAAACGCGATATATATTAATGCTAAGATTATATAATTAATAAGTTTTCTGTTTGAAAATCATTTTATCACTATAAAATTTGTTTAAAATATCATATCTCATTTGTAAAAAGTAAAAATCTTGTGTTCTTATAGATCTCTGCACCACAGGAACGTCTATACAGTACTTGGATTGGAGGATCCATCCTAGCATCATTAGATACTTTTAAAAAAATGTGGGTCAGCAAACGTGAATATGATGAAGAAGGACGTCGGGCTATACATCGTAAAACTTTTTGAGCCAAAAATGCACAGTACTTTAGAGTAAAGTGACAGTGTAAAGAGTTTTATAAGAATGTACATAAATTGTATTTATTTTATTAAAATTATTTCATAGCTTTTTAATGTATTGTCATAAGCATTAGACCAAAATAACATTTTAATGATTTTACAGAAAATGAACTTCTTGATTGAGGGGTCAGTGTTAGAACTAATTGATAGTTTTAAATAATGAAAAACTAAAAAATCTTAAAACACCAGAAGTTTTTAAAATACTTGACTGGACATTTTTAAACGAAGTAATCTAAGACTCTTTTAATGCTAATATCGTGAATCAACTTCTAAAAAACTTCATAATATTGACGTTTAATCGTATTAAAATTATGTTAACAAATTAAAGGTGAGAGCAATCTTTTTTCCTACGTGATCATAAAAAAATCATAAAAGTTACATGAGTTGAAAATCAAAGGCATGTAAATCATATTAATATGTGTGCTGCAAGAGAACAAAGATTTAATTCATTAAGGAACGTTCCCTCACGACTGAACATATTATTGGCAAGGTTTAATCCCTCTCCGCTTGCCTTGTAATCACCGATATAGTACTTGTTAGGATCTATGTCCCTTATTCTATGAAACTTTCAGTCATGACCTACGTCTATATCAGCCCGAGATCAAGGTCATCCCATAGTTTCATGTATAGGATTAATAAATTTATAATCGGACAATTTTATAAGTTTATACGGTCATTACATTGTTTAACTTGAAAGACATTTTAGCTGAACAAAAACTCTCAAATATTAATGCATATTGATGCACTGAAAAACTTGCAGCTTATTTAGGTCATTGAGTATCTGCTTTGAAAACTTAGTGTGTCAGCTATACAGTTTTTGAATAAAATCTATGTGTAGAGTAAATGTACACAGCATATGGTGTAAATATGACCAACGCTTTAGTTTTTGTCACTGCTGAAATTTATGATCTCGTGAGATGTATCAACGACGCAATGTATAGTTACTCAATAGTTTGCATCGTTTTTACTTTTTTTTTCGCATCAATTTTAATAATATTTGCATTACTTCCTTTTTTTTAACCATGCAATTTACGTCTTTTTAGACATTTTAAACGTTCGGTAAACTATGCATTGTTTAAATTGCTCTTATTTTTAATCTTACACTTCTTTCACTGTTAGTATACACCGTCAATTTTTTTCGGCATGTTTCTTGTGATAATTCAGGTAAAGCCTCAATAATTACAAAGAAAATTTCAATCCTTTTTAGTTAAAGTTTTCTCAAATTTTTACAAAGTCCATACCCCATTAGAAACCCATTTCCACCTAAAAATCCAACCATTGTCAGCGCAACGAGTAATAACACAAATCCGCGTGTTGTGTACAACGTACGGGTTTAAGATCCATTTCGCGGGGTTACCCGAGGAAGCAAGAAAGCCCGCAATATTACAAAACGATTATAATACACCCGCGCACACCTGTGGAAAACTACGAGCGTCCAAGAGAGGAAACCTCGTTGATCACTCGAGGAGGAAAACGATGCAACGGGCACCGTTCGCCACTTGTTCGTTGCACACACGTATACGTACATGGATGGTTTCACGAAAAATGCAATATTTCTGTGGGTTCCGTGTGGGGGTTTCAACGACTTGGTTATTTTTTAAATTTAATTGGGACTTGTTTTTTCTTATATTACGCATACAGAGTCCAAAAGAAGATGAGAACTGTTTGAGCTCGACTGCAGTTTCTCCATTTTCGGACGCGTACTTGTTTTATTTATTTATTTAATTTTTTTAAGTATAAGCTTCGAAAGTAAAGTGGGTTACGGTAACGACGGAATGCATCTCGTAAACCGCTTGCGAGGTATCCCCCGACCATCTATACACTTTTTACACCACACACCGAGCTAATAAATCATCAGTGAAATTATACCGAGGTATAAGAAAAGACTCCTCGACAACTTTTACATAAAATATAGACTAAAAATGAAAAAAAAAAAAAAAAAAAAAAAAAAAAAAATTTACATCCAAAACGATATTACAATAATTTATCTCATCAACTTGCGTGAATTCTCGATCGACCTATAGTTGCCGACGGGNTTTTTAGTTAAAGTTTTCTCAAATTTTTAAAATTTTTCTATATTACAAATTACAAATACAATTTTTTTTGAGAAGCAAGTAGTACAGTAATAGTCAATAAATATTAACATCTGTGAAGCAGAGATTTATAAAAATCATTAGAAGAAAAATTCTTCTGTCATACTTAAGTTTTAAAAGAATGCGAAAATGCTTTAAAGCCAGAATGATGCTAGGATAAAGATAATAGATGTAATAGTAGGTAAGAAATCATAAATATCATTGAAAAAAAAAAAAAAAAAAATTTAAGACAAAAATTTATCCTACGTCGACAGAATAAGCTTCGTTCTAAATATTGGAAACATTATGGTGAAAAGAAACACCATCCTATGCAGGATAAGAGTTAAGAGCTTACATTTATAGCATGAAGGATCTTTTGCAACTAATAAAGAAAGTACCCTAAGTATTTCTCACCGATTTTGATGAAACTGAGATACATTGTAGGGGTTGGACAAAGAAAAGACGCGTACCTTTATCATAATCATCGAAAAAACGTTCGGAAGGGATGAACATCACGCCCAAAGCTTACCCCTAAAATTAAACTTTTTCGAACGTCACAAGTTCCAATAATACTTTTTGCAAAAAACCAAATGAGAATTACTTTTTTTTCAAAAGAAATAAAACAGCATTGGTTACGACACCGAAAGATTTCTCCCTTAATTTTAGCTAGGGTGAATTGATAAATTTTCTCTCATCTTTTAGCTTAAAGTTGTACTAATGAGGCAAAAAGTTTAAATCTTTGTTTTCAAAAAGTTAATGGTGATTTACAATTTCTGTTTTCTAGGAATTTAAAAAAAAAAAAATTAATGCTGGTAAGCAACGACAGAAAAATGTTTTTTCATTTCTTAAATTTTCATAATTATTTTTTTAGGAATCAAAAAAGTAGTTACATCTAACAGTAAAAGTTTACAGACCGTTCAAAGCCATGTTATACATTTTTGCACTAGCATATGTTACATCTGTGATTATGCCACATCTCAATAAATTTTGATAATTTTTTTAAGTGATGAGATGAACCTTAAAAAATTTCCAATCTTACAGTGATATCAAAATAACAAGTGAGATTGTCTATTTGCAAAATTTTCAAAAATAATTAATCTAGTCTTTTCTCAATTCGATAAATAATTTTTTACATCATCTAAATATAACAAAAGTATCAGCTTCCAGTTTCATTCTCTAACGTTATACTAAAATATTTAATTTGTTAATACTGCTTTGTTTCACCGTATCTTTTACTGTTGGTAAAGTGTACATAAAACGTTCATAAATTAGGAGGACTAGGTTGCAAGATCTCACCACGACGTAAAATACTATATGTTATACACTTGACGAATAATATCAATACGTGGTCCTCCAATACTGCTCGAAATTTGTTTTTGTGCCTTGGATTTTATTTTCATGTTAACAGATTGTGATCTTGTCGTGTTCTTTAACATTTTTATGGTAATTTTGATTTTTCAATAAACGCTACAAATAGTATACTTTATAAAAAAATATTGCGATTAATGGTAGCCAAAATTAAACATACTGTTTTGTCCTTTTATTACAAATAAACTAAATCAAGTAATTTTTCTAGGAAAAGATAAACTTAAAAAAAATAGAATAAAGTTATTTTTTGTGTAGTTTTAGTTGTATTGATTACATTCTTATCTATAAAGGTGAAACTTTAAAAGTGCTTTAGAAACAAGTTTTGCGACATGAAAATAATAAAAATAAGGAACTTGTAGTCGCATCGCATTCTACGAAATTCATNATTGCACCGATAAATTTCTATAAAAATAGGCTTTTTTTCTATTTTTAAGTACGTACTGCTGCTTAAGAATAAAATTTTCATTTAAATTCATTAGTTTTTTTTTTCATTACCATGTTATCAGTCTAAAAAAAATTTTTTTTTGCTTTAGCACACTCTTTGTTACTAACTTTAACATGTTACAAGATTCTTCATACAAAAATGTGGTTCACTAAGTTGTTGGTTCAAGTTATTACTGCACAATACGATTTACACTACCATACATTACTTTTTATTTTTTATACACTTAGTTTTGTTGTCTGTTAGGATTTTGTACTACCACTATTTCCTTTATGTTTTGAGTAAATTGTAAAGATACTAGAACAAGTAAATTTTACATTTTTGTAAATTAATGCTTGTATCCTTAAAAACTAAAGTCTTTTCTTGGTGGTTACAAAGGTACTTACAAATTTCATAAGTTGTATAAAATAAATTGTGAAAAAAAGAAATCCAGATGAACGGTGCACATTAAAATTTTACAATAAAGAAAAATTATGGTGATTTACTTGGTATATTATATAAATTTCTAGCAACATAACAATGAATGACAATGCAGATATCTTATCGCTTGCTAACAAATCTGGATATTGCTTACATTAAATAGCTGACGCAAGAATTTTAGTTCAAAAAACCAATAATTTAAAATGTATTTATTGACATTACTAAGTTAATCACTAAAAGTTTTTACTTATAAATTTATCATGAAAATATAATATATTATTACCGTCGATTCATTTAATTTCTATTTATTCGTGTACAACGGTTTCATGACAGATGTGAAATTTTTTACAAAGATCATAAGTAATTACATTAATATTGGAGTGTGTAGTATATGTATGTAGTACCATGCAGCAACAGCAGTGAGCGTTGGCACTGTAACAAGCGAGCAAGCGCAAGTCCCTTTATATTCTGAGGATGACTGTACACAAAGCTAGGCGTAGTTGTATCGCTGACTCGCTATACCTATAAAAAATTGCCATTATAAGTAACACTAAACTGTGCCTCAGACTAGCGTGTTTATTTTTCGTACTGACAATAACTAAGTTATTTATTAAAAAAAAAAAAAAAGAAATGGGTGAAAATACTGTATCATTGATATTAAGGTCTTACTAAAACATTTCAGCGTTTCAATAATTTTTTTGTTGCCATATCTAGTCAGATGCCGTGCAAGTATGCCA